ATAGTTTTTGTGATTTATTTTGCTGTTGATTTCTAATTTTATTTCTCTTTGATTCAATAATATGCAGAGAATCATATTTCAATAGTTAAAAATTTATTTAAGCATGTTTATGGCCTAAGAGACAGTCTATTTACAGAAAGTACCATGTTCTTCTTAGAAATGTATATTCTTTTGTTGGTTGAAACACCTATAGGTGTCTGCTAAATGCATTTGTTTGATACTATGCTTTATCTATAATATTTCTTTGTTGATTTTTCTCTAGATGACCTCTTTATGAGAGAGAATATAGAGATTCCCTGCTATGATTGTTGGTATTTATGTCCTTTTTAGTTGCTTCTGCTTTATGAAATGAGTTGCACTAATATTTGGTCCCTATATATTTACAATTGTTTTATTGTCTTGTTCAATTGCTCCCTTTTACCGATGTGTAGTGGCTTTCTTTGTCTTTTCTGATCAGCTTTGGTTTGAAGTCCACTTTGTCACAAAATAGCATAGCAGCTTCTGCTTTTCTTAGTCTCAGTTGCATGGTGTATCGTGTTATATACTTATATATACATATATATGTATTCATATTTTATAGCTCCTGAAGGAAAGAAGGAAGCACATATTTATATATTATTTCCTATTTCATTATTTCAATATCTGTCACAACAAACATTGATTCTGAAAAAGGAATAACTTTATGTAAGAAACATAAGATAATCATTCATTAATTAAGAAATTTACAGTATTAACTATGACACATCATCAATAGCAACATTTTATACTAAATACCATATTTTATTCTAAGAAGTTCTAGTAGGAAAATGTATGTTGATTGGGAGAATTCACATAATAATGCTATCCATTGTATACAGATATTAAACCTCATTGAAAATTGAATATAATGAAATAACCACCTGTGACTTCCCCTAGAAAAGCAACAGTTCCTTGAACATAAAGGATACATTTCTCTGCTCTCTCATTTGTGCTGTTTCCTAGTCCAAAGCCTTCTCATGGCATTTTTCATTTCCGTGTTTCTCAGAGTATAGATGAGGGGATTCAGCATTGGGGTCATAACAGTGTTGAACACAGTCAAGGATTTATCAATGGGCAAGTTAGAGGGAGGTCTCACATAAATAAAAATACAAGGAACAAAGAAGAGGACCACCACGGTGATGTGGGAGCCACAGGTGGACAAGGACTTGCGCCTCCCTTCCTGGCTCACATTCTTCAGGGTGTGCAGAATGAGCCCATAGGAGATGAGCAAGAGTGAAAAGATGGCCATGCAGATCGTCCCATCATTGGTCACCACTGTAAGGACAATAAAGTAGGTGTCCATGCAGGCGAGTTTCAGTAAGGGGTACATATCACAGATGAAGTGGTCAATGA